GTAATTGGAGTTGAGGTGCAGATCAGCCGTGTTCTTATAGAATAGCGTAACAGGTTCGAAGGGCTGAATGGTCTACTCTTGTTCCTATACTGCACCAAGCTGTAGCAGAAAAGGAAATAACAGCACCAATTCTTCCTCCCAGGGAAGTACTTGTATTGGCTAAACGTACTAATCACACACAGTGGAGTCCTCTCTCTGCATCCCAGACTGCTCAATCATCCGTGGTGAATGAGTTGTGTGTGTGTGTGGCAGTGGGAATCCAGTTTGGAGGAGAAAGATCAGGATCAAATTGTTAAACAAAAGTAGCGTGTTGGGCAGAACTGCTGATAACCAGTGATTCAAATCGAACGCATTACACTGCGCTGATTCAAGTGCATTAATCAGACTGTAGGCCACCAGGGGTGGGAGGGGGTGCAATTTGGATTGTGTTTGAACCGTTAAGAGAGCGTGCTGCGGCAAAAGAAAACGAGGGCAGAAACCACTTAATTTGAACTGTTGTGTTTGTCTGCCTCGCTCCTGATGCAAATTAAAAGTGCACCTTACGAGCCACTCGTAACGACAAGTCACGATTCAGTCCACACACGCGCGCGCACACACACACTCACGCGCGCGCGCGCACCTCCCCTCCCCTCCCCACGAAATGTCTTGAAATAAGCCCAGCAGGAACCGATATTTGCTGAACAGACAAGCTGTTTGCGTTACCGTCAACCATATGGGAGGAAGAAGCAAGGTGTTTGCCCCCTGCGTGAGCAGCTGTTTTATCTCCTTTTGCACGGTTTATATTTCGAAGCCACAATATTTGTGTGTTATTGTTTGTGTCGAAGAAACACCGCGCCACTTAGCAGGTCACACAATCCAGAGCCGAGATTAAAAACAAATTGTTTTTAATCTTGCCGATGAATTCTGCGGGCTGGGGTCAACAAGGTCCTTCAACGGGATCCGCATTCTCAGCTGAACGATATTATTAAAAGCCTGCTTCCAGCTCGGCCCGGGTTTTATGGGATCATTTCTAAAAAAAAAATGCTTCACGTTATGAACTCCCGAGACAGGCTGCCTTTGCGCTGATCCCAAGTTCAAGTGAACCACCGGAAATCCGTGAAGGTGGCTGGGTTTTCGCACACCCGACTTGGGTTTGCATTCCAAAGAAAAAGGAAGGCAGACGAAAATGAGAACAAACTAAATACTGAGTAACGCTTCTTGCGTGTGTTACCGTTTTAGAATGGTGCCCTGTTTTGGATGATATCCACTGCAGGTTCAGTCGCAGCTCTTTGGCCAAAAGGCCACCTCGCTCTATTCCCCCAAACTGAAGCTCAACAGAGATGTGCTTTTGAGCGAGACGAATCCATATCATAGGCAATTTGGAGGTCCCCAAATTGTCTTACAGTTCGAGCTTTTAAGACCACAATCTCAAAACGTACGTTTTTCACAGTGTCCCTTAATTACTGTGGAAAACAGACTTCCAAATTGAGACTGAATTTTTAATTTTCCAAAATTCTGCACCATCTTAAAATGTTGACGGCTGTGGCTTTAAGTCGAAACCCCTGTGAATGTTTGGGCCTCTGTTGTGGTTTTGTTCCTTTCGAAGAAAAGTGTGTTCCCTTGCCGTTCTCTTGGGAACATAATTTATACTACGGTAATAGCCAATGGATGTCAACATGAGTAGCAGATGAGTTGATGGCTTGGTGAATAAGAAGGGAGTATAAATTTGAAAGTTTTAAAACTGTAGGCACTGGGGAATCATTATGGTTCCTTTATGGCAAAGGGTTTGCTTTTGAAATGGGCCAGACCGTTAGGAATAATGTTTCTCTACGCACACACCAATAACTTGTTATTTATGAAGTTCCTTTTGCATCAGTAAGAAACATATCAAAGTACTTTACAGAATGAATGAGACGCAGTGAATGTTATTCATGTAGGCGGACTCATCGGCTGATTTGCAGCCATGTCCCACCAAACGCGGCTAAGATGAGTGGTCATTTTAAGTTTGGGGGTGAATTCTGGCAATCGGTGTGCGTTGATCTCAATCTCTGGTTAATATTTTAATTGTCTGCAAGTGTTCAGTATTTTTGTCAACCTTGCTAAATAAATAGTAATGATTTAACCATTTACCTTCAAATGCAATTTGAGAAGATTTGATCGGCCAACGGAGGCAGACACCTAACTTTGATCCAGATTCAATGGACGCTTGCAGATTTCTTAAACTATATATATTAAACGAGAGCCAGCTGTGTTATCTCAAGAGCTTGTCAATCACAGGGGNTTTGACTTGGAATGTGTCCTGTAATGAGTAGTGGTTTCAGGAGACTTTTGGCAGGTAATTGCACCAATCAGGTGTTGTTAAGTAAAGCATATTTCTGTGTCTGGCACCATTAGCTATAATTAGATCCCAGGTTATAAAAGGAAGTTTTTTTTAAAACACCTATGACATTTTCATTATGAAAGTTTAATGAGGATATAGTTTCCTTCTCAAACCCTGTAACTAAGACAAAAGTGTATAACATACCCAGTGTGTCTCGCAGTTTGTAGCCTGTACACATGCCCAAAGTTTTGGCTCGAAAGCCACAAATTTCTGATGATGATGGCCCTTTCAGCTTCGATTCAACATGAGGGTTCATTCTGCTCTGTCAAAAGCTATTTTTTTCTCCAAAGAGAAACCTACAATTTGCACTTAACTGGCGAGTGATTACTCTGAAATACTTTATGGCTTTTATTTGAACAATACCGTCAGGACTAGGTCATCTGTTGCCATTATGTTTGGCATTGATGGCCTTACTGCTTTCTAAATGAGCAATGTGCATGTCTGCTACCCATATCGAGGGTAAAAAGAAATGGGTTTCAAAGTTGAGTGTTAATTTTTTTTTCTTAAAGAAAGCTTTTTCCTACCCACACAATGATCTCTCCTGGAGCTGGCTCGATCTGCAGCGAGAAAGGTCACCCAACGAAAACAAATTCTGTTTTTCTATTGTTGATTCGGAATCCAATAAATGAGGCAAAAAAGAAGAGGGTTTTCTGCTTTTATAACAGGTATAAAAATCTCCTTCGCTTTTATACTGTTGCCAGAACATGAGCGCTTGGTGATATTCTCGACCGGGGTTTGACCCAATGATTTAGTCTGAAAATACATTCGCCGAAACCAGCCTTTTTGCCTTTTACAGGCACTCGTTATTTTGGCTAAATTTCTCTCTGAAATTTGGTTTTCAATGTTAACACCACTTCCAAGCGTTTGGGATTTTATAACCGACAATCGATGTGGTGAGCAAAAAAACACATTTTGCCGACACAGAAGTTTGTTTCGACACAGACGCAGGGATAATAAGTTCGCCACCGGCTTAATAAAGCCCGTCGTTCAAAGTGGGTTGTCAGCAGCCGATGTCACATTGCTGATTCGGCTCTGGAGCAGTGACTTTTCACTCAGTGCTCGTTCCCAAGTGGACAGCTACTCTGACTCTCCGAGTCAGGGCTATTGAAAATCGGAGCCGGGAAAAATGGCCATTTTACAATGCGAGATTCCCCCTGAGGCAAACTTGGCTCTGCTCAGACAAACGTCTACTGTAAAAGCCAAATGGCCTCGGACTTATGATCTTCGGGTTCTTAATTTACTGGGTGTGATCAGCTGCTTATTACGCTTTCAGTTAGCCAGATGATTCTGTGCGTCTCAGACAGTTCTACAGTCGCGTTGTTTGGGTTAAAACAAAACTCTTTTTTTTTTTCAAACGTGGAACGAAAACAAACGTATTGCTCCTTAAAGCATAAGTGTTAGGAAGGGAAATAATAAGGATGAAAAAAAAACCTTCCTGGCGCGCCACTGGTTTGGAAAGGAAAGTCAGGGGTGATTAGATTTGTTGTAATATGTATTCAATTTGCGTTCTATCCTTCATCAGGGCTAACATTGAACTAAAAACAGACCATCATGCTGGCAATAACACTGCCCAGCATGTTCTCCATTATCAAGATCACAGCCTTGTACTTTAGCGGAGGTCACGTGCTCAGCCTGGAATCCCTTTATATCCCTGTTTGTCTCATTCTTTCCCAGCAGTGAAACTGTCGTTTTGTTTTCTTTAATTAATTTCTTTCTCTCAGAATTCATTACTAAAATCCCAGGACTGGCTGGCCGCCGCATTTGATCCGGATTTGCTTGCCTCGAAGAAATCTTTAATGTGCTAATGCTCATGTCGGTATCCCCCCCAGCCTGGACACTGCCACGCTCCAGACTCGCCAGATTTAGTTGATGACTGATTGACAGAGACGCTGACTTGTTTTTAACTCTGTGGCTCCTGAGTTCTCGTATCCGGTATGAAATGGGGAGCTCTGTGCTGTTTATACAACCTCCAGACTCTGGAGACCATCATCAGCAAATGATCTGTACTTGTTCCTGGGTCTTGGGATGCCCTCCTGACGTGAAAGGCTCCGTACAAACGTAATTTGGTTGTCGTCGTTGTCATTTTGAAATTTTCTCCTAAGTTTTCTCGAGGAATCCTGTAGCTCAGTGGTTAGAGCACTCGCTCTGCAAGTGAGAGACCTGAGTTCAATTCCAGGCAGAGGGCGAAACCTTGGGCAAGTTTGCTTACTCCACACAGAGCCTAATAATAATCCCTCCAAAACCAAAAACAATAATAAATTGGTCATTTTCAATCCACGACTGTTTGTGGGGACGCTGCTGTCCGCAATTGGCTGCCGCGTTTCGCCCACAAATATATGGTCAATTCACTTTACAGCATATTCTGTGAAGCGCTTTGAGACGTCGAGAAGATGTGAAAAGTGCTATATCAAATGCGAGGATTATTATTATAATTTATTGCCTTTGTCTTGTGTTTTATTGCAAATATAAATGTACTTGTTTTTTCTACATACTCCAAAGGTTTCAGAAAGTGAGCCCCACTGCCCATATGGGGTGTTTGTTGTTATTCTTATATTTGGATAATAAAAATATTTTTTTAAACACAAAAGATATTTGCAGTGCATTTAATCCTTTTTTCCCCCCTCTTCCTTTCTCTCAACAGATTGTGTTTATATAGAAAGCCGTCGTCCCAACACTCCATACTTCATCTGCAGTATCCAGGAATTCAAACTGGTGAGTGCGTCCCTTCTTTCGAAGCTCTGGAGTCATTTGGTACTATTGATTTCTACCAAAGTTTTGCATTTCTTTTTAATGCTTTAGAAACAGTTTGTCTTTCCAGCTTCACTCTTAATTATTTTCCCTATTCATGTTGAGACCATTTGCTTCAAAGCTTGTTGCCTTATGTCCTTGATGGGAGTGAATTTCTACCTTTTTAATGCACGCAATTGATTTTTGAAACCACATGGCCCTTCTTATTGTGTCTTCTTTTCCACCACCACCACTATTCCGCCTCTTGAGGCCGTTAACCTGCCTCTAGCAAGTGGATATTGGTGAGAAATGCTTCCAGGCATCTAATGCAACACTTTATCTGCTTAAATGATAGCTGCGTGACTTGTGATTTTGCTCCCCTTCCACCTGACTGGTGTGGAACTCATCAGAGATTGTGAATTTCTGGGAACAAGCGCAACCTTCCACAATTCAGTGCACTGCCTGTTAAGTCACTTGTGTTGCACCTTACCTTTTAAAATTTCAAACCCTCTTCTCAGTCGGGATGATAATCGCTTGGTGCATGAGGTTATTAATCGCATGAGGGTTCCTCATTTGAGAGTGAATCTCCCCACCAAACAAAAATCTTCTCACAAAGAAATGTGAGGATGCAGAATTGCACTGTGCTGAAAAGCCATAGATATGGTTTCTGCTGAGGTCTTTAATACTCTTAACCTTGAGGTCCCAGAGTCTGTTAACAAAGAGAAGCCTGTGCTTTTTATATGGAACCTGAGACCAGACGCCCCCAGTATATTTTCTGATTTGTTCTTGATGTCAATGCGCAGTGATATTGACATCAAGACATCAGTGGGTGCCTGAATTGTAATTTTGTTTTGATGTTTGACAGCACAGGCAGCTGAAAATGCAGAGTTCGATCCTGGCTTATTTTCCCCCTGCAAATCCACTCCCGTCCTTTAGCTAGCAGAGGTCACTTAAAAAAAAGCTAACGGACATCTTGACCCGTGATGGGTTTGAGACGCCCACGATCCATAGGGAACCTTACTCCCAACACACAGTAACTTTTCACAATTGGATGGATTTGACTCCGAATCTCCCGAACTGGAAAAAAAACAATGATTTTATGATAGCGGTCGCCTCTGGAGACAAGCAGGCAAGTTTGACATGTCAAAGAGATATAAGAGGGGGAGATGTGTAAGTTAATTTGGGAAATGAAGCTCTTAATGAGTAATCAAAAATTGAAGGGCAAAGGGGATTAGAAAGATGTGAATGAACAAACTTGATGGACAGAATGGATCAGTCGTGTGGGTGCAGGGATAAAGTTTGTTTATGATGGGAATTTTATACGGTTCAGTGGTGCCTAATTCATCTTAATGGAGTAAGAAAATTAATTTGAAATGTATTCCATACATTAAGTTATTTTCCCTGTAAGGATTGACCTTGAGTTAATATTGACAAACTCCCACCATTGCCGTTACGCGTTGGATATTGAACCATTGCTTTCATTGACAATATACGTAGAGCTTGTTGAATGAACCGTCTTATTAAAAGTAAACTGAATTATTTCAAATTCCATGGCTCAATAATTTCCTCAGTGTAGCAACGTGGCAAAAATCTGATCGTTGGCTCTCTTAATGTTTTATTTTGCTGGATTTTCACCCACCCTCAACATATTGCTGACCTTTCAGTCTCTTCTTTTAAAGATGCAAATGCATGGAGAATCTGTCCTTAAACAGCTTTAGGGTAGCAATTGAATAGCTTGAGGGATTTGTCTCTTCTACATTTTGGCGTAATATGGTTACGTAGATTCTCTGCTGCTTCAAACTGTGCATTCATGTAAATATGGATCTGACTTGTCTGCATTTTTGTCAACCTGTGTGGTCTGTATTTCACTGAGAGCATCGTAGCTAAGAAGTGTTGACAGTAAAACTCACATAAGTCATATCAGTCGGGACCATAATATTTAATATGACTCGCGTGAAGTCCGAGTTAAAAGCAAACTATACGAGTCGTATAAAATCAGATTTATGTCAGACATGTTGACTTAGAAAAAAGACACTATAAAAATGCTTCTTTCTTACTTATCCTTTATCCAATTTCCTCGCTAGATATCCATCCACGTTTAACTATTGTAAATGGCTCAAGGGAAGGAAGTGAAGCAATTGTTGAGGGAGATTGGTTGAGTGTGTGGCAATTGAGTGGAGATGGCCTAGGGGCCTGGTAATAATGTTCCCCTATTCTACATAAGTAACGTGCAATTCCACGCTCAGTCCAAGGTCTGTGAAATTACACTAAGGTGTTTCCTTGGAGTAAAGGAACTTGATGTTCCCATATCCACATCAGGATCCAGTTGCAGAACAACATTTGCAAAAGTTGTTTGGACGGATTGCTTCCTGGCCGGAGAGAAGGGTGCAAGTCAAAAGATTCTGGGGGGGAAAAAAAAGATGGCGAAGGGAAAGAAATCTCTCGTCGTCTGATGAAACATGCCTAACTTTGCCAGCTGATGTTTTCCTCAGTCAGCACTTTGTCAATCCGGAATGTCCCTCTGCTGTCAATTTATATCCCGACAAGTCCTTGTTTGAAACTGACAGAATTGGTTTTATTGGTTGACCCAGTGCAACATTTAGAGACGGGTGACATTGCCTTGCCGGTCATTGCTCTGGGGTGTGGATCTGAACCCGGGTTGAATACCCAGTGGCCCATGATCTCATTGTGATTCTTTGTCAGCCTATTTTGGCGGTGTAAATCTCGGCAGTACGTCATCTTATTTCGATCTAACGTAGTTATTAGCTTTAGCGTTTAATGAGATAAACGTTGGCATTTTAAGTTTTGTATCGCGAGAGTGTTGGACGGCAGCTTTTAGAAACTCGTTGCTGTATGACACACCAGAACCAGCAAGATCTCCTCCCTCCTACGTTAAATCTTTGACATCATAATTATAAAAAGCCGATGTATTTCGCGTGCGCTTCGCAAACCCTTAGCTTGCTCAAACCCTGTGAAGTCCCAACATCGAAATGCTTACTGTGCGGAATAGGACGAGAAGCAAGAGAGATTATTTTAGGTTTCTCTTCTGATTGCCGAGTAGAATTTTGTGCTTCAGCTAACTAAGAAGCTGCGTTGTCCATTTTTATTTCAAACGGTCTTCCTCGATGCGCAGATTTGCACAGTCAGGACATCACGGAAACAGGGCATTCAGCCCAACTGGTCCCATTCAGCCCAACTGGTCCCTGTCCATGCTTGTACTTCACACGAGCTTCCACCCCTTCTAAGCCCTCGCTTCCTATACCCTTGATGGGGATGAGGGGAGAATTAAGAACGGAAGAAACATTCTCAACAAGATTCAAAACTCCATAATTAAAAGCTAGTTGAGCCTTCAGGCTTGCAATATTCCATAGTATGAACGATGCTTGTGATTTGAGATTTGTTTTCATGGACCTGAGGTAAGGTTGTGGCTTGTTGTGTACCCTTTGACATGCACAATGTGAATAACCTTAGGATTATGTTCTACTTTTTGTCGCTGTTCAAAGTGGTACAAATAATCTGCCTGCCTGCGATGTGTTAACACATCTTGGTTGAACTTTCCAACACGGGGGAATAAGCATCCAATTACAAGGTACAGCTTTACCGAGCATCAAACTCAGTTCCTACTGTTCGGCTGATTGCTTTCAATGTTGAGGTACAGCGTCTGGAGCACAGAGGGAAAGGGAAGCTCTTAACTTTTAACAGCTTTTTTTTAAGGAATTGAAAGAGCTAGTTAATAGTATTGTACGCTCTGTCTAATGTAGTGTTTCACTTCGCGCTGAAAGCTTCATCGCGGGTGCACGTATTGAAGATTGACAAAGGGATGGGGGGGTGTGGGGGGCAGAAGATTTGTGGAGAAATGCAGTGAAAATCATGAAATTATTGGTTGTGTTAGGGAGATGATAGAATAGAGAATAACTATTGCTGCTGTTTTGGGCACAGAAGGGGGCAAAGTGAAGGTAATTCTGTGTGGTTCATGGTGCCATAGTGTTCCATCTTTCCCCCACCCCCCATTAACTCAGAGTTGATGAGTGTTCGGTAACACAGGGAATTTAGAAGAGGACGTGAAAGCTTAATGCTTAGAGCTTGGGACCTGATGGTTGGCGGACAGGATCGAGGAATGAGCAGGAGACCAAAATCAAAGGATCGGGGTAATAGGTTTGTGGGGCCTAGTGCGGAAGAGAATATAGCGTGCAAGGAATTTTGGATGAGTTTGAACTTTGGAGTATTTTATCTATTTTATCCATCGAAGAAGTCTTACATAATAAAACTGCACAGCAATTAGTTAAGCAGTTTTGACGGGGCTTACATGCCTTAGTGCTTTTATAAATTACATTTTGGTGTTTATTACATTTGTCAATGTTTAGAAGGAACCTCAATTTAAGAAAAAATAAGCAATATGGGGTTGGAAAGATGCTAATATGCTCAGCGTTTGAATTTTACTGGAGGCAGACAGCCCACAGTACCTCTGAATGAGATTCATTTCTTGTAAGCTTTAGATCAGGAATGATGATTAATCCTTTAGGGACCAATAAATTAATTGATTCCCCTTTTTAACAATGAAAGCAGATGAAGTCGATTTGAGTATCCAGAAGAGGAAGAATGCATCAGGTCTGCAGTGAGAAGAGAGCGTAGTTTCAATTTTTTATTGGAACACCCCTTTCTAGGATTTTCACCTACTTGGAATTTCTTTATTGACTCGTTTTTTGGGGGGGCGGGGGCAGGGAGGAATAATAACATCAGTTGAACCTTAGTAATCTGAGGCAAGAAGAAGATAACATCCATATTATCAGACGAGACATTCTTTCTGGCTCAGAATTTTTTTTGAGGTTGGCCATCATTTTTTCTTTCCTGAAAAGATCTTGTTGCCTCGATCCCCCCCCCCGCGCCCCCCCCCCCCCCCCCCACACACACACACACACACGCTCTCCCAGTTCTATTAAGGTTTTCCATTCAAATCGAGTCAGAAACAAGCCTACTGTACGTGT